AAAGAACCAACTGGTTTTAGTTCAGATTATCTCCTTTAAGTACCATTAGCAGTTGAGATGGCAGAGATGGCAAGGTGGGAAATGGTGATCCATGCGATCAGTCATATATGTAGTCACTCTTTCACTCAGTACATCATGGCTATTGGGTGCCAGGTACTGGGATACAAAGATGAGAAAGGTACCGTCTTTCTGCCTAGGAACTGTATAATCTAGAAGAGGGAGACAGAGACATAAGCAATCAGTGCCCTGAAAATTGTTGTAGGGGATGTGACCGCATGCTTGGTCCCTCCGTGGGGACCAGAATGGGAGAGGTTAGGAGTGGTGACAAGGAGAGTAAGGATATGGAATGAAGAAAGACATGGAGGTTTTTCTATGGTCAAAACCATTTGAGAGGCACCAGTTGAGACCAGTTAAGCAGGTATTTACTAGAAAGCCTCTTGAATTCTTTATATTGGGTAGCATTTCTATAACTATTTGACTACAGACTTGTTTGAAAGGGTATCTCCTGTTTCTTAGAACAGGGTTTGGGAAACCCTGAAACATGCATTGGGGAATCATCAAAAAGTTTTAATCAGAAAATTAGACAATTATCTAATCAAATTCTTTTTTTTTTTTTTTTAGGATTTTGTTTATTTATTTGACAGAGGGAGACACAGCAAGAGAGGGAACACAAGCAGGGGGAGTGGGAGAGGGAGAAGCAGGCTCCCCGTGGAGCAGGGAGCCAGATGCAGGACTCGATCCCAGGACTGGGATCATGACCTAAGCCGAAGGCAGATGCCTAACCACCTGAGCCACCCAGGCACCCCAATCTAATTCTATTCTTAATACCTACTGTGTTACTGCTCATTAGGGTTGTTCAACCAGTGTTTTAAAACACCAGATTATTTCCAAAATGATGTACTAGATATTTTGGGAAATGAAAAAGACGCATAGGACACGTGTCTGGCATTAAAAACATAACATGTTGATTATTTATAAATGTTACTCCGCTATGCAATTATTTGCATCAAATACAAAAGTGAGGAAGTTGAGGATAAACTTGGAGAATTAGAGATTTTCTGAGTGGTTCTCACTCAGGGCTAATTTCTACAGGGTGTTTAATGCTAATTCTTTCCTCAAAGATTGTCAGTCCTCAGATGCATGTGCTTCTCTTGCCTCTTTTTGGACTAGGATGGTTTCTGGCTAGGGTTCTCATCCAAGCGGCTCAGGGAGTGTAAAAGGAAGAAAGCTGCCAAATCAAAACTTGAATTTTTTTTCAGGCCATGGCGGGGGTGTGTAGCTGTTGGGTTTTTTGGCCTCAAAAGTACTATATAATGAACATATTGAAGCTTTGGTGTATTCAAATGGAGTCAATTCTAGGCATCTTTAGGAGATGTCCTAAAGGTGTATCCAAGGAGTTTGGAGAAAAATTTTGAAAGTGAAAGAGAAAGGGAAGTTGTATCTGGTGGAACAGAAAGAGCAAATCTAGAAATCTGAAGATGTCTCAGACTTTTTTCTTCCTTAGCTCCTTACTTGTTTCACTTAGTGTCAAGGGAGAGAAACGTCAAATAATCTTCTTGAATTAAGTGAATCCTTATTAAGTGTTTGTTATCAGTCACTTTATCTAGTAGGGAAACAAAGAGTCAGAGTATTTAGAGTGAGTTGGTCCAGCCTCAGGCTCTTCATTGCCAGTTCTGTCGTGGTCCAGAGCACTGGTCCTGGAGCTCGATGGCCTGTGTTCAAATCTATTAAATCCACGTCAGCAACTCTTGAGAGCTGCTGCTCTGCCTGGGTCCCCCAGGGAGGGAGGAGAGCCTCGCTGGGTGTGACCCAAGGTTTTTCTTCAGCATATTCCATTATCTTGGTACTCAGAGCATATGTCAAGTGAATTCTGTGTTTCTGGCAGGTTATTACGCACTGAATTAGTGTGGTGAAATAAAAACTATAATAAAGCTGTACCAGACTCTTAAAAAAACAAACAAACAAATCTGTTGATTATCATTCAGTCCAGTTATGTAAGGGCCCTGGTCCTCGGTGGCTCTAGGATTTTAGTCAAATTACTTAACCTGCCTATGCCTCAGTCTCTACATCTAAAAATGGAAAATGATAGTATGCATCTCATAAGGCCCCCAGGCTTTAAAGAGCTAATAAATTGAAGTGCTTAGAATAGTCTCTGCTACATGCTAAGGGTTTCATCAATAGTTATCCTTAGGATATCTTTATCCTACCATTTTTGTTAGGGTGATAATTTACTGTGGAAACATATCAAAGAGTAGTAAGTTTTGTGGCCTAAAAAAGATTCTGTCTTTGGAGACTCTAAATAGGATTGAGTGTAAATGGACTGTTAGAAATATTGAATTCATATAATTTTAAAATATTGCAAATATTTGTACATGTAAATAATAATAATAGCTAACATTTGCTGAGCATATACTATGTGCAAGGAGTTGTTCCAAGTACTTTTTACCAATTCATTTATTTTAGAGTTGAGGGAACTGAGGCACTGAGGGGGTAAGCAGTTTGTCCAAGGTAACACAGCTAGTTAGGGGCAGGGCCAGGGTTACCACCCAGGGCATCTGACCCCAGAGCTCACACACATCCACTGTGATAGCCCATCTTTTGTGCAAATATGTTCTGTATTTTAGATCATTTTGTCAAAATGTTTAACTTCATTTACTGCAAACAGAAGTGGAAAACATTAAAAATTGTGTTAAATCATTTCAGCATAAAGGTATTTCTTTTTCTGTTCTAGAGAAGTGTTGCTCTTGGCTTCACATGTTAGAGCCATATTAATAACTGTGATTCTTTTGTTCCACTGATGTATAAGATTATGTGTTGGATTTCACCAAGGTGTCCAGATGCATGCGTCCATTTTTTAGAACTATTTTTCACTTTACATTTTAGTGACATATTTTCAGAGTAGTGTGCAAGTAATGTCACTTTACATGCATTTTGCAAAATTAGCTGCTTTTTCTGCTACCATTAGGTTTAAGGCATTAAAAAAAATAGGGCTATATCAAATCCTAGCCTGTGAAATGTGTGCTTTGCAGGATTTTAAAATAGAGACCATTGTGAAGAATCATGCTTTTTGCATTCTTCAGTGTAAAAAGACTAGACTGCTCTAAAATTACCGATCATTTTAGTTGCTGCACTTTCTTGGTGCTAACTAAGTAACATTTTATGGGTTCTTTTAAAGAAAACTGGGCAAAACTAATTTGCCACTAGATGGAGCCCTGGCTATTTGGGTAGAAATAAATGCAAGAGCCTGGACGTTAAATCATGCTAGTCATATCACGCTGGAGGGCCCCTGGTATTTGAGGCCCTCAGCTTTTAATTGTAGAATGCATCTTTGTTCTTTGCCTGACCTGCAGAGTGACATCACTCCCTTTCTTCCTGTGTGCTGGCTTTGACATAAGCCAGATGGCTGAGGCCATCGGTAGGCGCGCAGGCCGCCTGGTACAGCAGTTGATGAAACAGAATAGGAAGACGTTTTATGGTCAGCTGTGGGAGCACAATGAGGCTGCAGCTTTGCTAAGTAATTACATTTATCGTGCACACTTTATTCCTCTCAGAGAAGGTCACCAGGAAAAAAAATACATTTTTATTTATAGTGTTGTGAGGTATAGACCTTTGATCTTTTATTAGTCAGTAGTCTGCTCCAAAGGAATGCTCTTTTCCCTGCTCTGCAGTCACTCGTGAAAATGACATGTTTATTTATGTTTAATGGTTCTTTTCAGCTGTGCATTGTGATACTTACCTTCCCTCTTCCTCCCTTTTGTCTCCAGTTAGTAACACAAAAATATTTTAGTTTTGTAGTGAGTTTAGTTTGGAGAAGTCAGAGTTCAGGTATGTTAATACAAGCAGATTTCTGTCAGATATACTCCAGAGTGATTTGGTAAAATATATTACTGTTTATTATGTGTTTGTTCTTTAAGGATGTCAGAAGAGACCAGGAACAGACTTTTATTCTGGGGGGATGAGGGCCAGGAAATGAATAAGACATTCATTTTACATCCATTTTTGGACATATAGTGATTAAGGTTCACTTATAATGCCAATTTAAAATAAATTATTAAAAGTATGAGCTAGTTTTTTCCATCTTCATTTGAAGTTAATCTTTAGTAATTGAAAGACTGTACAAAACTTTAAGAAAATCCTAACTGAACTTTTCTCTGAAGTTTAACACTCACACAATTTTGAGATTCTTCCATGTAGATTCATTTCCAAAACCTTTGAAAATATTTTTACCCTTTTTAAGGTTAAGTTGTAAATATTATTCACAGAATTGACCTTGAAATTATAAATGATAAAATCGAATTAAAATTCATATTTGCTATGCTTTGCTCAAACTTAACATTTTCTAAAGTGAAGTCTCCTAGTTGTCTGTAGGTTACTTGGTTCTCTATTAAAAAAAAAAAAAGAAGCTAACAAAAGGCATCTCTTAACCTTCCAATATTTTATAGTCTTCTCCAGGGAGGGAGATTTACAAATAATTGCTGGAAGGAGGCAGCATGGTGTAAGGAAAGAACATGGCTTTGCAGTGAGATATAACAGGGTTTTCTAATCCTTTTTCCACTGGTTATTTGCTTTGTGCCCTTGGACCTTTGAGCCTCGATTTCCTCACATATTATTGGGGGATAAAACCTACCTCATAGGTTTATTGTAAGAATTAAATGATACAATGTGTATATTGGGCCCCAGACAGTTCCTGTCACATGGTACAAACTCACTCCATAAATGCTAATTCTTTTCAAATGTTTTAAACTTTGTCTCTTTTCTGACCTCTTGCAAAATGTGTTCACAGATTACACTTTTATATCATGTGTATTTTATTCATAAGATATAAATAAGTCTGGGTTGAAAGTAAGCTCACCATCTAAAAAATAGGCATTTGAAATTTATTACCACTGTGTGTATGGGTTCAGTTCCAGATAAAACTGTAACCATCAATTGTGCAATGAATGTGTTTAACATTTGTGATGTTTTAATTTGTTTTTGTTTTTTTTTTTTCTCCTACTCAGCTCTTGCCCCTGTTCTTTGCCTCTCGTTCTGTTGGTGAAGATATCACAGTGATGTCTGCATTCAACCTGCTGCATTTGGTGACAAAGAGCCAGCCAGCAGCCCTGCGAGCCTGTGGGCTTCCCTCAGGTTGCTGCTTCTTGTCCTGTACCTAGTGAGGGCACTGGTCTGGGGGGGTGTTTCTGGTGCAGGAAATGATACACCAGAATGCTTTGCTAAATTCCGTTTTCTTTCACTTGGGCCCTAATTTGAAGACGGAAATCGGTTATAAATCACCACTCTACTTTGAGTAACATTCATTTCCACAGTCCTTATAACCCTTGGAAACATTGTCCAGTTTCTTTGCTCAGTCTATAATTGTCATTAATATTTCATGATATCTTCTTGTTCTTTAATGCACACTACACATCTGAAAATCATAATGTTCATAAGAGGCTGGCAGTCTTCATAAGAAACTGCCCCAAATCACACAAACAGGATATTCATCTTGTTCAGGATAATGAAAATGCTTTTCATTCCACATGTGGCCATTACTTTGGGAAAGGAAAAATGAAAATGAACAACTTTAGTATAATAAAGTTATTTATTATAGTTAAAAAGAAATGATGAAATAAACAAAATCATGTGTCAACTGGTTCTTAATTTAGAACCACTATACTTTTAAAAAATGTGATTATAAGCATGTACACAAGTGAAGCATGTAAGTCCAAAATTTCAGCATGTGACTATAGTGTAAATTTAATATTTTAATTTTATTATGAAAATCACAATGGTCAGATACTTTCTGTGAACATTATTTTCAATATTATTTATATTTTCTATTAATGTACATGTCTCTATTACTATATTGTATAGAGAATTTAATTCCAGCTCATTAAACATTCATTGAATATTAACTCTGTGTGCCAGGCATCGTGTGAAGCAGTGAGGATACAATGATAAACAAGATCAGGCTGATTTCTTTCACTAGCAAAAGGTGGAAATGGCATGTGTGAGGACCATTGAAACATATGCTGATAGGACTAAATAAACGGTGTTTATACCTGGGATGTTAGGGGAATTAAGAGAAGGATGGCCCTAGCTCTTGGGTTAGGAGCAAAATTTTTGTAAAGGAGGGAAGGTCTCCGAGGTTTAAAGGAGGACTTTATGGAGGATATAGTTTTTAAGCTGAACCTCAATCTATGAACATCAGTTAGCCAAGGAGTGGGAAGGACAATTCTAGGCTATGGAGTATCAGGGGCAAGACATGAAGGCCTGAAAGAGCAAGGTATGTTCAGTGAGATGCAGGTTATTTAATATGGATAGCGTGGATGGGTGAAGGCAAGTGCAAGAGGCGAGGCAGGAAGGTAGCCCAATCATGAAAGGCCTTATATGATGTTTTAAGGAATTTAAGTCTTGGGGAAGGGAAGCAGGGGAAATAACATGACTCGATTTGCATTTTGTAGGGATTATTGATTTAGTATGGTGGAAGGTTAGTGCTGGTTCCAGATGTTTCTATGAGAAGGCTGAGGTGGCAGCTTGGTTCGAAGGGTAGCTAAGACCTTTGTCTTGAAGCAGTATTTGAGTAGTAAACGTGTTTGTTTGTTTTAAATAGATTTTGTATCTATTTGTGATGACTTGAGAGGCTAATGGAGCTTAATGCATGACTCTTTCAGTTCTTTTGCCTCCCTGAGCCAGCCATGCCCCCGTGCCCCCACAGAGAACACTGGAGGAGTTTGAGGCTGGAGGGACTCATGAAATGCTGAGTCTTAGCAGTGGTAATTACAGTGGGTTTGGAAAGAAGGGGGATGGGGGAAACTGGGTGGCTCAGTCAGTTAAGTATCCGACTCTTGATTTCAGATCAGGTCATGATCTCAGGGTCTTGAGATCGAGCCCTGTGTCGGGCTCCGCGGTGAGTGGGGAGTCCGCTTGGGATTCTCTCTTTCCCTCTCCCTGTGCCCCTCCCCTGCTCTCTCTCTCTCTCTCTCAAAAACAAATAAACAAAACAAAACAAAAAAGAAAGAAGGGAGATGGATTTGAGAGATTTTTAGGTTGTAGAACTGACAAGGTTTACCTGCTGAATTGTATATGAGCTTGAGGGAGAACATCAATCAATGTAGTCCCTGTACCATGCGGGACTTTTCCTAAGTATATACTATATATGACAGTGGGAGTATGAAAGTTATTTAGTTTATACATAACCATGTTTTCCACTGAAAAAAGCCCCAAAGTGTGAGAATACCAGTAGTGTTCTGTAACGTGAGTTTTCTCTACACAGAGGAGCCTAAGTATTTAGAGACACCTTATTAATACATAAATTAATTAATGGTGTATTCTTTAAGATATTAGAATCATGGAATTGAAGGATTTCATAATGAAATTGTTTAATTGAGGTATAAGTATCTTTAAATTTTGGTATCAAAGTGATTCAAAGATAAATTCAACAAAGCGGATAATTCCTAAGCAGTAGCCATTATGCATAGTGCTTAAAAATACAGATTCTGGGGTTTGACTGAATTTGAAGTCTGGTTTTGCTACTTAACTAGCTGTGTACCTTGGCTTCCTTGTTTGTACTATGGGAGTTAATAATAATAGTCACCTGAAAGGTGGCTGTGGGGGTGAAATAGCTTAGGATGTGTTAAGTGCATAGAACAATGGCTGAGATTTAGTAAGCACCATATATAAATGTTCACTGAGTTCACTATAGATCTTTCTTTTTCTTTCTTTCTTCCTTTCTTCCTTTCTTTCTTCCTTTCTTCTATCATCTATCATCTTTGTATTTTCCTAGTACAATAGACTTTTAAGAACATATATGTCCTTTCATTTAACTATTTTCACTTTAATAGGAACCACAAATGCACTTTCTGTTTGAGAAATAATCATCTCAATCTGTTGTTTATATCTCTTCCTTTTACTTATACATCCTGCCGAACCAGAATTCAAGTCCTATAAATATACATGTTTCTTTTATTCTAACTATCCAGTACTGATGGAAGCCAAAGTGTCTGTCTTTCTGGATTGCAAATCCATTTTAATTTGATAGATGAATTGGCTAGAATAGTATTCCATAATGCCTTAGTCATTAAAGCACCACTTACTTTTTAAAGCATTATGAAAGTCAGTCTTTCAGCATTTACATACTTTATGACTTGAATATTAGTAAAATCGTTACCATCCATTTATCTAAGAGAATTGTATTCTTAGAAACACAGGAATGTTGAAGAAATTAAGTTCAACAGTAATGAAACAAACTATATTTTGAAAAATAAAAGTGAGGTTGAAGTGGGAATGCTAGTTCCTATTACTTCATATAAGTAGGGAGGGAAGAGGTCAAAATTGGAGATACAGGAAATTAAGGTGAAAAGTCTGGAGTCTTGCTTTAATTTACTGTTCCCTGGTCAAAACCCATTACAGCAAAAAATCTCTGTAAATCAAAAAGATTTCTGCTCCCTTAGCCAGTACCCTACTAATTTCAGGTATTATTCAATACAAAATAATTCCAGAACTAAAAAGTAATTGAAACAGGCTCTTAAAATTGATTATAACTGGATTGACCTGAATGGAGGCCATATCCCAAAAGAGTGACCTATCATTTTTCAGCTTTGACTTCCTTTACTTCTTATTTTTAAATAAAGCATAATTTTAATTTAGAGCTTATTAAGTGCATCTGAGTTATGGTTCACTCATGTTTGTAATTAAAGGTAATTTCTTTCTCCCTCAGAATTTTTTCTTAATTTCCTATAACAGTTTCATTTTGTATTAAAAGAGTGCTGGGGTAGGAGTCAGAAAACTAACCACAGCCCTATCATTAACTTGTGTGACCATGAACATGACTGTGAACCTCTTCAGATCTCAGTCTCTTTATCTTTAAAACGAAGAATTCAAATTAGATCATCTATATAGTTCTGAGATTCTGTGATTTTATTAACTGTCGTTTTTACTTTTGGCTCTGGCTTAGTTAAATCTGGAAACTCAGTACTAATTAATGGCTGGGAATTTATAGAAAAATCTGCTAGGTTGTGGTGGGAGGACAGAAATCTTTTCCATGTTTGAACATTAGAATTCCTTACCACTCTATCAAGACTGAAGCATTATCTGAGGAGGGATTAGGAAACACAATTTTATACATAGTTTCAGTGCTTGATAAAAATTAAGTCTAATTGTAGCTTAGACTAGATAGCATGGTAGCTTTCAGCCAAGTGAGAGTATTTGTCTAAATAGTACTAATTACAGTGATAAATTATACTTTTCTCTAACATCATACACATAATATGTGGTTGTTACTTGACTTCATTGGCATATTTAACAGTCACCATGAGTTGAAGAGCCACACGGCGGTTATGTAGTTCGTAAAGATATCATAATATTCTAATGTAGAAATTAGAAGTCTTAAAGAGAGATATTTTGCAAATGGTGTTTGCAAGTCATAGAATATCATCTGTATAACTAGAACTCTCCAGAGCTTAGCACAATGCCTGGCACTTAATAAATATTTGTTAAACGAATGAATAAACATTTGGAAAGTTTACATGTAGGTGAAGTGATAGCTATAACAGAGAGTACACATTTATTTGAGACTCTTTTATATGGGAAGATTAAAAGTAAATTTCATGGTTTGGTTGCCTTTTGAATATATGAAAAACAGTTTCTTTTCTCTTTTCTCACTTTGTTGCATTTAATACAATACAGTTGATATAGTAGGTATAAAACACATTGTAGCTAAACAAAGAGCAAAAGCGTGGTAACATGGATTCATTGTGTATTATCCATACTTGCTTTTACTTTTTCTCTCAAACGGTTTGAGTTTTAGTGGTAGATAAACTGTTTGAGGAAGAGAATAAGTACATATTATGCTTATTATGAGAATTAAGAATTCTGGCTCTTTTGATCACTTTTCTCTGGAGCACGTTAATGTTGTTTGTTATGCTTTAAATTTTCCATTTGTAAAGAGGAACTACAGCAGACATGCACCAAAGCAACATGCATAAGTAAGAATACTATCCAAGTTAGAGCTGGCAACAGCTCATTAATGGCATCCAATGTTATGTTTATTTACCCTTTTTAAAAAAAGAATTGAGGTCATCAGTATGCTTGCTGTTCATCTACTGCATAGATTGGCTTTCTATGCCAGTTTTATTTTTTAACCTTTT